GCTCGAGGTCAGGAGTTCAAAACCAGCCTGAGCAAGAGCGAGACCCCGTCTCTACTATAAAAATAGAAAGAAATTAATTGGCCAACTAATATATAGAAAAAATTAGCTGGGTATGGTGGCGCATGCCTGTAGTCCCAGCTACTCAGGAGGCTGAGGCAGGAGGATTGCTTGAGCCCAGGAGTTTGAGGTTGCTGTGAGCTAGGCTGATGGCACGGCACTCACTCTAGTCTGGGCAACAAAGTGAGACTCTGTCTCAAAATAAATAAATAAAGAATGAGTTAACCAAAGAAATGTGGTAAAATTGCTGAGCAGGGTTAAGGTCCAAGTGAGGTTGGCGTTAGGGTGGGGACTCATGAGGAACTCATGGTGTGAGTTGCAGCTGAGCTCTGCTCAGACGTCAGGCAACCCCCAAATCTGAATCAGACTGAAACTTAGAGATCTGGCCAGAAAATGGGCATCCCTGAGTTCTAACCAAGACCAACACCTAGATCTTGAGATCTTCCCCAAAGCCAGGCATTCCTGAGTGTGGGTGAAGACCAATGGGGGCTATTAGGAGGCATAAGGCCCTCCAAAGCACCCTACTGGAGAAAGGGTTGTTAGGAAGCATCCCTTCATTCCACCCTCCTGAGTACCAGACCTGATACCAGGTTTCCCTTTTGACCAAACCAAGAAAAAAGCTACCACTCCCAACCTCAAGCATATGAGGGTTCCAGAGCACAAGAGACTCACCAAATTCCAAACGATATTGAAGGTACCAAGAAGGATTCATCCCAGGAGTTGCACAGTAGGGGAGGGAGCAGTCTTGAGACAGAAGCAGAGAAGTAAGTTCCCCTATGGATGTAGAGAAATGACTCAGTTCTCCCAAACAGGCCACCAAAAATATTACAGTGGTGACTCATGAGGAGCTCATGACATGGGTTGGAGAAAGAATTCTCACACAAAGAGAATAATTTTAAAGAAATAAAGTTCATTTTATTTCCCAAAGCTGGGAAGGGCATGACATGAGAGAAAGGAGGAAAAGTGTCAGCCCTGAGCAAAGAAAGCTCAGGATTTTTATGGGGACAAAGAGAAGAGAGAGAAAAGAAAAAAAATGAGGGGGGGTTGACTTGGGAAAAACATTTTAAAAAATTGTATGGCTGCCAGCTGATAACAGAAGTGGCTGTGGAATGGCTCTGTTTGCTTTTTTTTTTTTTTTTTTTCTCTATGAGGCCAGCTTATCAATTTCCTTGAAGTCTAGTGCTAGCCACATCGCACACAGAGAGATTATACTCCTACTGTCTGTTTAGGGCTCTTCAAGGCTGTGAAAAAAAACTCTTAGAGATAATGAGTTAGACTTGAAGACAATGAGTTGAGTCCCAGGTGTTTAATCAAACAAAGGGGGCAGTTGTGCTGTAAGTTTTTTCTCTCCCGAAGAGATAAGAAAAGTATACACACTAGCAACAATGCTGTGTTAAACATTTTAGGAACATCCTGATCTTCATCCTCTGAAGTTAACTGACCCAAACCCTGCCTTCCCCTTCCCTGAAGGCAAAAAGGAGCCTAAAATTCATACTAAGTTAAGACAGTTCTTTGGGACATTAGTCTACCATCTCCTTAGTTTGCTGGCTCTTTGAATGAAAGTTACTTTCCTTGCCCCAACATCTTACCTCTCAACTTACTGGCTGTCCTACATCAAGTGGTATGAGCTTGAACTCGTTTACACTTTCTCTACTCCTGCCTACACACACACACACGTCCCCAGGGTCTGCTTTGCTGCCTCCTGATCACCCAGGGTGGTGCCCCACCCCAGCCAGCCTTCCCTGGAAAAGTTGGCACTTCAGATCTTTCCCTCCCTACCCCAAATCCGAAACCCAACATCCCTGCATCCTTTCCTCCCAGCCTACCCTGGCTGGCAGATCAATCTTATAGATGTGAATATTAGGCCAAAAAAAAAAAATGCCCCCCAGAAGATATCCAAACCAAATTGTTGGTACCTATGAATATTACTGTATTTGGAAAAAGAGTCTTAACAAATGTTGATTAAGGATCCTGACATGAAGCCAAAGTCCTGGATGTTCTGAGCAGACCCTAGATACCAAAACGCATGTCCTTAATAACAGAGGCACAGTGGAAGATTAAATACACAGAAGAGGAGAAGGCCAAGTGAAGACGGAGGCAGAGATTGGAGTGATGTGGCCACAAGCTCAGGAATGGCAGCAGCCACCAGAAGCTGGAAGAGGTAAGGCAGGGATCCTCCCCTAGGGCCTCCAAAGACAGCATGGCCCTGCGGACACCTTGATTTGGGACTTCTGGCCTCCAGAATTATGAGAGAATAAATTTCTAAATTTAAGCCATGATGTTTGTGGTAATTTGTTACAGCAGCCACAGGAAACTGATAACAATGTGTCAACCTGCTCTCTCAGTTAACACTGGGGCAGTTAGGCTGCGTATTAGGATAGGACCATGGGGGAAATAATAGTGTGATTCATTAAATAACCACCAGGTGGCAGTGCTGTACAGACGATGGCAAGGAAGCCGGTTCTGCTATTTAATACTTCAAGTTTTCCTTCCCTCCTTAGATCTCTCCTTTTCCTTTTCATCCCTCTCTAACCCACTGAACCCGATTCTGCGTTCTTCCCCTAAAAAGCAGCAGGCTTGGGCCTTGGACATTCGCTGGTAGTTTAGATTCTAGAAATCAGGTTGGGTATATCAGGAAGCAGTAAATGAGGAAATGAAAATCTGTCTGCTAGTACTCTACAAGGCTTTCAATACCGTCAAATTTGTGACCTTTGGGGGGAAATGATGCAGGTCTCCTTTTAGGGATGGCCTTAGCCAATGGTGCAATGGACAAAGCTGGCAGCCTCTGTCTTTCTATAATAGCTGCCTCTCTTCCGTAAGCCCATCCTCAAATGCTCAACAGCCTAGAAGAAGCTATTGTAACTATCCCAGTTTTGCAAATGGAAAAACTGAGGTTTAGAGACATTGAGTAACAGGGTTATAGTTCCTTATTGGTGACACTCAGGCTCAAACCCTAGTCATCTGATGACTATTGCCACACTGATATCTTGGTGTAACTTGGCTTCTGGCCATCTTTCCCTTCTCTAATTAATTTAGCATTGACTGTATCACTCTTTTGACATTTTATTTTATTTTATTTTAAGATAGAGTCTCACTCTGTTACCCGGGCTAGAGTGAGTGCCGGTGGCGTCAGCCTAGCTCACAGCAACCTCAAACTGCTGGGCTCAAGCGATCCTCCTGCCTCAGCCTCCCGAGTAGCTGGGACTACAGGCATGCGCCACCATGCCCGGCTAATTTTTTATATATATATTAGCTGGCCAATTAATTTCTTTCTATTTATAGTAGAGACGGGATCTCGCTCTTGCTCAGGCTGGCTTCAAACTCCTGACCTCGAGCAATCTGCCGCTCGGCCTCCCACAGTGCTAGGATTACAGGCGTGAGCCACTGTGCCTGGCCTTGGCTAATTTCTTTTTCTTTCTTTCTTTCTTTTTTTAAATTTTTTGGTAGATATACAGTTTTGCTATATTGCCCAGACTGGTCTCAAACTCCTGGCCTCAAGTGATTCCTGCCTCAGCCTCCCAAAGTGCTGTGAGCCACCGTGCCTAGCTGATCTCTACCCAATGATGAAGATCCCTTCCAGGATTCTATGAATGTGTATTTTCATGCTTAGAAATATATCCTCACTATATTCTCTTTTATCTCATAATTCATATCTAATGTCTATTTTGCTCTCATAATTTATTCTGATTTCACTGTACCTATATGTTATTCTTGGATTTTTAAATGGGCTTTAGGAAAAAGCAATATAGTATTGATATAACTTCATATTTATTGATAGAATGATTAGAATACATTGGTTTAATGGATTACCCATTATAGAGGTATCAAATAAGATCACAGCCATGAAAGTGTTTTGAAAACTGTAATTATACACATGTAAAATTATATTATTATTACAGTCATTTTTTAAAGAAATAGCACAGGAAGAGAAATCCAAAGAATATTTAATGATTCAATTTTCATCATTAATCATCAGGGAAATGCAAATTAAAACCATAATGAGATAACACCTTACCCCAGTCAGAATGGCCATTATTAAAAAGTCAATAAACAATAGATGTTGGCATGGATACAATGAAAAGGGAATGCTTATATAATGTTGGTGGAAATGCAAATTAGTGCAACCTCTGTGGTAAAGGTATGGAGATTTGTTAAAGGACTAAAAGTAGACCTACCATTTGATCCAGCAATCCCGCTACTAGGGATCTACCCAAAGGAAAAGAAATCGTTATATAAAAAAAAAAACAAAAAACAAAAAACAAAACACTCCAGTAGAAGAGGAAAGTTAGAAAAAAAAAAAAAAAAAAAAACACTTGCACACTTTTTTTTTTTTTTTTTGAGACAGAGTCTCACTCTGTTGCCCAGGCTAGAGTGAGTGCCGTGGCGTCAGCCTAGCTCACAGCAACCTCAAACTCCTATCCTCCTGCCTCAGCCTCCCGAGTAGCTGGGACTACAGGCATGCACCACCATGCTCGGCTGATTTTTTTTTTTCTATATATTTTTAGTTGGCCAATTAATTTCTTTCTATTTATAGTAGAGACAGGGTCTCGCTCTTGTTCAGGCTGGTTTCAAACTCCTGACCTTGAACAATCCACCTGCCTCGGCCTCCCAGAGTGCTAGGATTACAGGCATGAGCCACCGCGCCCGGCCCACTTGCACACTTATAACTTTGACTCAAACAGTACAAAAGCAATTTATGTAACGAAAATGTTTGTACCCCCATGATATTCTGAAATTTAAAAAAAAAAGACACTTGTAATCATATGTTTATTGCAGCACAATTCACAACTGCAAAGATACGGAATCAGTCTAAGTGCCCATCGACTGATGAGTGGATAAGGAAAATGTGGTATATTTTCTTTAGAAAATGTGGACTACTAGTCAGCCATAGAAAAGAATGAAATCATGTCTTTTGCAGCAACTTGGATGGAACTGAAGGCCATTATCCTAAGTGAAGTAACTCAAGAAAGGAAAATCAAATACAAAGTGGAATAATGAACATTGGAGACTCAGAAGGGGGGAGAGGGAGTGGGGTGAGACATGAAAAATTATCTGTTGGGTACAATGCAATGTGCACTATTTGAGTAATGAGTACACTGAAAATCCAGACATCACCACTATACAATTCCTGCATCTAACCAAAATCCACTTGTACCCTTAAATCTATTGAAACTTTTTAAAAAGAACATTTAATGATTCAATTCGATTTTGACCACTGTGTGTGTCCCCTAAAAGGAGTTAGTATTTGAAGGTAGGAGAACCTTCTCAGAGCTTCCTCAATGTAGGCCATTGCTTAACCTGGTGCTTCTCAAACTTAATGTGCAAAGGAATCACCGGGGGATCTTATTAACAGGCAGATTCTGGTTCAGTAGGTCTGGGGTGGGCCTGAGACTCTGAATGTCTGACAAGCTCCTGGGTGATGCTGAGGCTGCCCATCTGTAGACTACACTGTGAGTGACGAGGAATCATTTTGGTTCTGCCTTTTAATGCTAATCACAAATCTTATTATTAAGAGCAAATGTGTGGTTACAAGGAAACATATTCGATAAGTGGAGACATTACCCCTTTTTCACAAACATAGAACTGACACTGAAACTCTGGTTTGAAAGATGAGCTTGAAAATCATCGAGGTGGGCCTCATATAAATAATTCTTAACAAAAAGCTTTCTATCCCTTATTTTCAGTATTCACAAGAAAGAAAATTTCAGTTCCTTTTAATAAATTAAGCTTAATATATAATATTTCTACCCTTACTGGCAGGAAAATTTCTGTTCTTCTCATGTAAATTTTTTTCTGTTACAATTTAACTCTCTAGTTACTTCAGATTGGTTGCTAGAGAAATTAACTACATAATCATTTCCAAGTATCTTTTCTTTTGAAATGAAGCCCAATGGCTTCATTTTAAAAGGCCTGGAGTTCTAGTAATTTAGTCTTTGAAATGAATTTCCCTATATCCCAGCTAAGTAAATATTTGATACATACAAAGACATAATGCAAACTCCTTGTATAATGGGTTTGAATTATAGCCCCAATCCCTTCCAAGACTAAAACAACAAGAATGGCAACAGCATCATTTTCTCTGTGAGGGTGGTGGTATTTTCTTTTTTAATACCAACCACAATTTTACTTCTTTCCTTAGATAACCTCAGAGGCTGGGGAGATAATTTTGTTCAAGAAAATATTCATCACTTTACTGGATTGACATGTTCCTTAGGAAAATCTCCACTGGTTTCCTATCTGGAGATTTAAATTGCAATGGGCAAAGCTGATATTCCCCTGGGTGATAATCACAAGCAGAGCTATCTTCATGGTTGTGTGACCAGTACCCTCACAGAGAGTTCTGTACTCAGAAGGTCCCCGTGCTTGGTTTAATGCTTTGCCATCTCTGTCCTGAAATTCTGAATAATTTTTGAACAAGTGGCCCCCACATTTGCATTGTACACTGGGCCCCACAATTTATGTAGCTGGTCCCATGTACATGGATGAACACACTGTTCGTCTGGTTTCCTAGAACATGCATATAAAATTTAGTCTCTATTCCAGCAGTATTACCTTATTATTTCTAAAACCACACTAGTTCAAATTATTCATTTTATTGAAACCTTAAAATCTGTACCCCCATCATATGCCGAAATAAAAATAAATTTAAAAAAAATATTCATTTTTCACCTTTCCTACCAAGAAAGACTAGACACATGTGTACCTATGTGCACTTTTCTACTAGGCCACACCATCACCCTCTCCATGCTGATGTGTCCCTCACATGACACACTTTAGTTTCAAGGAATCTTAGACTGCCATTGTTGGCCATGTTGCCAAGTGATCTTAGTCTTCGAATCATTTTCACTTATTAATTTCATGACAGGGTAATTTACAGAGATGTTGATGTTTTGTTTTCCCTACTGTGGAAGAATCAGGAAGCATGACAAGAGAACTTACCTCCCCTCATCCAAAAGGAATGGGTTCTCATGCAGGCTTAGGTTGTTTGAATACAACCTCTCTTCCTGTCTTAGTTCATTGGGGAGATCATGCCAGGTGTGTAGGGAGAGGAGAGAAGAGAGCAACTGGGGAGAGGGTGGCTAAAGCAGCCAGAGAGGTGAAGATTACCCAAGACAAGGAAAGGAACAGAGATCTGCAGTTTCCTTGAGTGGTGGGCAGCCAAGATATACTCCATCCCCAGCAACATGGCAGGAGTTCAGGAAGGAAGGGCTGTGTCCACTTTCAGCAAAACTCAGTGCTAATCATTCCCCAGAAGCAGCAGAGCCCTCAATCTCCAGGGATCCAGCTTGGACAATGGGCATACAAGTGGTAATTAATGTGGACCAAAGATTGGAGAAACTGCCCCAACTGTTTTTCTTTACGTAAGAGTACTAGAGGCTAGGTGGTGAGTTGGGGAACTCAGTAATAACTGATATTGAATTTTCCACTAGTCTAGCCGAACAAGGACTCAAAATCAGATTATCATTTGATTTAAAGAAAATTAAGTAATATGATCTTTCTTGCATGCCCCATGTACTGCAAATTATTTACTGCTACAATGTAATATTGAACCTACAAACACCCAGCTAACGAGTCACAAATTTCCCACACAAATGCCCTTGGATTATTTTTGCCAACATAAATAAGTCCTGTCTAAAACATGCCCACCATTCAAATTTCAGCATGAGATTTGGAAATAAAAAAATAATAAAATAAAAAATAAATAAAACATGCCCACCTCTTTTTATAAAGGGGAACCATTTATGTTACAGAGAAGGCTATTGAAGTAAACATCTTGTTACCCCAACTGATAAAATTCTGCTCTTCAGGGTCTTTTCCTCAACAAAATCCTCCCATAACCTTAGAGGAAAGGGAAAACTGGAGAAGGACACCAGCAACAAAAGACAAACCCTTCCTAGAGAGACAATCAGAAAAAGGCAGTGTTAGTACACTGCTACTCCCGCTATAAGCCAGTCTTCTCTAGGTCCTTATGGTCCCTCTTGCTAGAGGAATTTGTAGCACATTTCCCATAGAAAATTCCTTCCTACAAGAATTTTTAGCACTTTTGCCTAATGTCAGAGCCATGGCCCCTATACTGAACATTGCTTCCAATAGGTTTGTATCTGGTGCCTGAAGCATATAGCCACTGTCTACATCTCTGTCTTAAGATGGCTCCCCAAACTGCTCTGCCTATGAAACCTGCTTTGTCCCAGCTGGATGATAGTTTCTATGACCATCATTGCTCTGCTAGCTCATTAAGGCTGCTTTCCACTAAGTAAATTGCTATATCCAAACTAGGGCTCTTCTAGCTCTTGCCCTCTCACTTAGAGGAAAATCTGACCTCTGGAGTCTTATGCCCTAAAGGAGAGTACAACAGAATCCTAACAGTTTTAGTTGGTTTTTTGTTTTACTTTTACTGAACCCTATATGTGGTGTTTCTGTTGTTACAGATTCTTAGAAGGGATACAGTTCAATCTACTTGACAGGAACTGGTTTGGATAAACTAGCTGAGCAATGTTCCCAAGCACATATGAGGGCCTTCCTGGTCTTTCAGGTGACTGGTGTTCCAAGCCCTCCTCTTAATAAAACAAGTGTTCCTTCCAGATGTCTACTTCTTTAATAGTGGGACCTTGTTTCTGATGGACATTATCCAAATGGCCCTGGGTCTTAATGATCGTGAGCAACCCATGCCCTTCTCCCTGCACAGCAGGTACATTTAGTCACACTACTAGCCTACACAGATTTTGAGCAACATTATACTGTTGGATTTGAGGACACAAAACTTCCAGTCACTCAACCACGATTAGCTGTGCATTGTCCTTCTCCACAGTTTTGTTGCCCAATGCATTTCTAATACGAGCCCAGAAGAGTGGCCTCTCGTGGGCGCTGTCTGGCCAAGTTATAAATGTCTGCCTATTCACAAGTTTCCTGAGTCGGTGGTAGCTGGATAGCTTATAGTTCGGGATCTCTTCCAAGAAGATCAAGATAATAACATCCTCATGCTCATAGAACATTTTTATGCTGGCTAGCTGTACTTCAAGCCGACACCATTCACTGTGCAAATAGTGGTTACTGACCACACACAAAGTTTTCCGGCTGGTGTTTATGGCATTCTGGATGTTCTCAAAGATGTCCATACCTGGTTCAAAGTCCCGGTGGTGAAGACAGAGCTTAAAGGTGGGCTGGCCACCTTCTTCTAGGGCTGGAACAAGTTGTTCATATACCCATTGCTCATCAGCAGTGGTGAAAGAGACAAAGGCATCATAGGTGAACTCCTTCTCTGTCCTGTGCCATTTGGCTAGGTACCAGGCTCTAAATATGTAGAGCCCATACCATAGAGATGGAGTCATCTTGGCAGTGAACCAAGAGAAGACCATGGTTGTGAGGACCAGACTGAAAGAACAGAAGAAGCAGACCTTCCCCAGGTCAAAATTACACATAGCATCATCAAAATCTATAAACAAACTCTGGGTATTTGGCTGCTGACAGGAGTAGCTTTGAAGGTAGGGGATATGGACATTTGGTATGTTTATTGACCAGTTCTTGAACCATACATTGTCACAGTTGCACTCAAGTTTGTTCCCATAGAGATCAAAGAACTTCAAAGACTTCAGATTCTCCAAATGACTTTGATTAATGACTTTTAGGTTGTTGAATCTTAAAGACAAGATCTCAAGACTTTCTAAGCCAGAGAACATGCCAGGAGTCAGTGATTCCAAGTTGTTATTTTCAAGGCGTAGAATTTTTAGCCTTTTGAGTTTTTGAAATAAGGAATTATTTAAACTAAGACTTCGGTCTCCAGCTTTTGTTCCTGAGATATCCAATTTTGTCAGATTGATCAGGTGGTCAAATTGGTGGTGGCTCAGGAATACTGCGGGATTTTTTCCTAGGAGTAGAACCTGCAAGCTATTCAGCCCTTGGAAGAAGTTGGTTGGAACAACCTGAATCCCATGTATTTGTCCTTCTAAGTTGAGTTGTTTCAAAGATTTGAGGTTCACAAATGGAGGAAACAGCAAGGTCCTATCGGATTCATATGTAATTCTGTTAACGCTGAGATCCAAAACTTCCAGATTTTCAAGGCCCAAGAAAATGCCTGCATGAAGACCAAACAAGCTATTGAATGCCAGGTCAAGATTATGTAGAGTAGTGAGGCCAGAAAATGCATTCTTTTCTATAGCTTTCAGGCGATTCTGAGAGAGAATCAGAACTTGGAGCTTCTTCAGAGATTGAAAGGTTCTATGCTCTAGAGTCCGAATATTGTTGTCTCTAAGGTCTAAGAGTTCTAAATTTGGAAACTGAGCAAAGGAGTTTCTGTCAATTGTCACTATCCAGCACCCAGCCAAGTTGAGCTCTTTCAATGAATATAGCCCATTAAAGGCCATATTACTGAGTTCTGTGATGGGGTTTCTAGAGAGAAAGAGAGATTGTAGGCACCTCAATGATGAAAATGCAAAATCTGGGAAGCTTTTAAACTTATTGTGGCTCAGGTCTAGGAACGTCAAGTTCTGGAGGGAACTCCAGGTCTTGTTGCTGACAAAGGAAAGTTGGCACTTGTTTAGTTTCAGCCTTTGGAGACTGGGCATGTTGTCAAACTCACTGTCATTGAGGTGAACCAGATTGCTGCTTTGGCTCAGGTCAAGTGACAAAAGCCTAGTGCAATTGGCAAGGTACTTTATGCCCCTTGCATCAGTGGGATTTTTCTGAAACACCAAAACCTCTAATATGGGTAAGTTTCTGAGGAGGTGACAGATTGTGCCCAAGTTTAAGTGACCACCTCTAAGCTCCCTGTTACTGAGGTCCATTTCCCTCAGATTCTGCAGGTGTTTCGCTAGAAGCATCTCCAATTTTACCAGTGTTCCACTCAGATTTAAACTCCTAAGTTGGGGCAGAGTTTCCAGATACACATTCTGGATGACTTGATGGCTATTCCGTGAGACATCTAGAGTAGTCAGATTTGGCAGTGACAAAGCAGAGAAATTTAACTCTCTTAGATTGTTCCCCTGCAGGCTCAGATGGGTCAGGGACACCAATGACCTGGGACTGTGGTTCAAGGAGATGATGCTGTTGTTAGTAAGATCAAGGTATTCCAGGCAGGGAAGATGCTGGACTGCTTCAAGAATATTGGAAAAATTGGTAATTAAGTTTCGAGATAGGCTTAAATGTTTCAATTTGACAAGAGGGACAAAGGCAGTTTTGTGGATATAGGTAATTAGATTGTGGCTTAGGAGCAAGGTCTCCAAGTTGGACAGGCCCTCAAAGGAGTTGTTCACACTTTGAATCTTATTTTCTACTAAATTCAAAAGGGTTAGGTTTTCAAGTCCCCAAAAGGCTCTCTCATCAATCTTCCAAATAGAATTCCACTCCAGTCGCAAGTCTACCAGAGCAGGCAAACTAGTGAAACTATGGGAAGGAAGGACCCGAATTTGGTTCTGTGTCAAGTTGAGGTGTGTGGTGTATCCAGGTATGTCACTAATGGCATCTGTCAAGTTGGTGATCTTTTTCCGAATGCAGAACACATGGTGAATGTCCAATTCATACTGCGTGCACTTACTGAATCCATATGTCTCTACCAAAGACAGCAGAGAAAACCCAATTAAAATAAGCCAGAGCTGTTGAGGAGACAGGAGGTTCTCTGAGCCCATGTTGTCAGCCCCAGGCTTCAGAGTTACAATAAGAAAAAAAAAATCCCTTCTCATGTGTGATGCTCATGTTTGAAGGAATGGTCTTTCCATTTTGACTTCTCTGAAAAGAAAAGAGAAAGTGTTTTAGTTTAAATTTCTCCCTGCTAATAAATATGTCATAGCTCCTTCAAGGAAACTAACAAGTTTTGCTGGGCTCAGAGTGGTGGTTCATGCCTATCATCCCAGTACTTTGGGAGGCTGAGGTGGGAGGATTGCTTGAGCCCAAGAGTTCAAGACCAGCTGGGACAACATAATAAGACCCTATCTCTACACAAAAAAATTTAAAAAATTAGCCAGGCATGGTGGTACACCTGTAGTCCCAGCTACTTGGGAGGTTGGAGAGGGAGGATCGCTTGGGCCCAGAAATTTGCAGTTATAGTGACCTATGATTGTACCACTGGGCAACAAAGCAAGACCCTGTCTTGATAGATAGATAGATAGATAGATAGATAGATAGATAGATAGATGATAGATAGATAGATGATAGATAGATAGAGACAAATAGATTTGTTTACCCAAAGTTAACTTCCAAAACAAATCTATTTCCAAAGCATTATGTGTGTCAGCAAAGACTACTCTTTTTTCGCCTACAACCAACAACATTGTCAACACATGGAGGCAGAGAAGACAATTGTGTACTTGATTTAATTTAAGAGAATTAAGAATTCCACAATCCTCTTGTCACTCTTGCACAATAAAATATGTCCCTTGCTGTTTGGGCTGATACCTGAAATTCTACCACTGGAGAAGCATGTGGGGGAATCTGTGAATCTCAATTTCATTAAAAGATAACCATCGGCCGGGCGCGGTGGCTCACGCCTGTAATCCTAGCTCTCTGGGAGGCCAAGGTAGACGGATCGCTCAAGGTCAGGAGTTCAAAACCAAGCTGAGCAAGAGGGAGATCCCATCTCTACTATAAAATAGAAAGAAATTAATTGGCCAACTAATATATATAGAAAAAATTAGCTGGGCATGGTGGCGCATGCCTGTAGTCCCAGCTACTCGGGAGGCTGAGGCAGGAGGATCACTTGAGCCCAGGAGTTGAGGTTGCTGTGAGCTAGGCTGATGCCATGGCACTCACTCTAGCCTGGGCAACAAAGCAAGACTCTGTCTCAAAAAAAAAAAAAAAAAAAGGTAACTATCCATGGTAGGGACACAAAAAAATTAAGGTTTATAGGCCATCTCTACCTTAATGTGAATGAATACAGGAATCCTTGACTTACAGTCACTCATTTCATCACAATTTGCATGTACATCTCCCAGGCGATTATAACTGTTATCAGTATATGGCAATACAGAATATGTTATTAGGTTAGTCAAAAGAAAGCAGAAAAAATACAAGTACAATAAACTTAGATCTGTCAGTCTCCTTTCTGATGTGTGCTGCCCAAGCTTCCCCCCCAGCCTTGCTTCCCAGTTTCAACCTGTTCCCCGAGTTACTTGCAGTGATATAGTGAAAAAGGTACCAGATCGAATAGACCTGGGCTCCAATCCTGTGCCCTTTCACAAATTATTTAACCTCTCTGTACCTGATTCCTTATCTATACAATGGGATAATAATACCTACTCCCTCATAGTGTCATGATGATTCAACAAAACAACTTAAAATGCCCAGCTTGTGCCTGCTACACTGTGAAGCCCAATAAAAGGTTATTCTCTTCTTTCACCCTTAACTGTAGACCAACACCAGCACACCATCTTTTTGGATCTTCTAGCCCTTGTCTCAAGAGTACTGGTAGAGGAAGGAGAGAAACAGTATAGTTGAGTTCGGCTGTTTTCTTTCCTTTGTATATATTTTCATATGCATACAAAGATATATGATATATTTTCTAGAATTTGTACTGAGGTACAGAATATTAAGGCCAGGGGCAATTAAAATCATAAAAAAATAAGAAAGAATATTTTTTTAAAGTCCATGTGCTTTCTCTTTTTTGTAAATGGCAAATAAATAGTCTCATTTTTTAAACACAATCAGAAAAAAATGCATTTAAATGCATTTATGCAGTCATTTAAATGTTTTCTCAATATATTTCCCCTACCAAATTTTTCCTTACAGACAAATTTAAGCAAAATATTAGAATACCAGAAAAAGAAAACCTTATAGCATTAGAATTATCCTCATTTTCATGATTTGGTTTTCTATTCCTTAAGTTAGATAAGCTTCCAAAGTGTTATATAACATAGTTGTTAATTACTTAGTAGATATTAATCAATTTTAAAATTATGGGAAAACGTTGGTGGAAAAGGATTATTAAGTCTGTTTGAAATCGTTTTTTTTTGCGAAGAGTCTCACTTATGTGCCCAGGCTAGATGATGCCATGGCATTCAGCATACACAACCTCATTCCGGGCTCAAGTGATCTTGCTCAGCTAGGTAGCTGGACTACAGGCATAACCATATGGCCAGCAATTTTCTTTTATTGATTATATTCGATTGGCCATAATTTCTTTTTCTGATTTATAGTAGAGACGTTCACTTGTAGCCTTATTTAGGCTGAGTTGAACTCTGCTCGGTATCGCCCGCGTCGGTCTCCCATGAAGTGGTGGATACAGGGGAGCACATGCCGGCCGGAATTGCCTTTTGAAAAGGCAAATTAAGGATAAGCTTGGTTTTTGTATTGTAAAGATTATTTCAAAGTACTATTAATAAATTTATACCAAGATTATATTTTTTTCGCTGATAGACAGTTAAATCGGCTCAGAAGTATTGCGACAGTGATATAAATAAAAATAAAAGAACTTTCAGGAAAAAAAAAAGAATATTAAGTGCTTGCCTTATAAGATTATAAGGCTTGAGTGCACCCTTCTGGAGAAGTTGGCATTTCTTGAGAAATGAAATGACAGCCTGACTTGTGCCTAGGGATTTTATCCTGGACTCTGGATGCTAGCTTTTTATCTGGGCGTGCCAAGATGATTATAACCTACGTTCACAATGCCGGATCATGATATGTGAACGTCATTCAGGCTGTTGTTCATGGCAGATCAGAGACTGCGAGTGACAGAGCATGTGCATTTTGGCGCCAAAGCCTTCTGTGTTCAAAACCACTATGTTAAACAGTATAAGAGTCCCCAGCTGCCTTTTTCAGTGCTATTCAGTCCACTTCTCGACACTTCTCGCTGCTGCTTAATTTTGATTGTTTGCAATTTAAAAAATTGCTCTTCAGGCTGGTGTCTCGGTGGCGTCTTAGCCTGTAATCTAGCACTTCGGGCGCCAGGGGGCGGATTTCCAAATTGGTGAGGAGGTTAAACAAACATTTTTGCAAGTAAGAGCAAAGCCCGTCTTACGAAAATAGATAAGAATTATTGCCTAATAATTATAGTAGGCAAAAGAATTGGTATCCAGGCGATGGTTGGCGCTGCCTGTAGTCCCAGCTACTTGGGGAGCTGAGGCAGAAGGATTGCTTGAGCAGGGTGTTGAGGTTGATGGGAGCTAGGCTGACGCATGACACGTCCATCTGCCTGGCACAAAGCGAGACTCTGTCTAAATAAAAATTGCCTTTTCTTAGGTACCTCGTTGGAAAGGTCCCTAGTCACATAATCATGTTAGTTAGCTCCTTATGATTGGCTGAGGTTAAATTTTATTTCTGTCTAACATAAACATTTATCAGAAATGACCCAAGTTAAATTTGCTTATGTTTGAAATTTAAGCAAGATTTAGGTTACTTATGAGGCTTAGCTGGTTTTGTCTTCTCAGAGATTCTTCAGGCCTAGCTCCATTTTAATTTACTTTAACAATGTACATCCCCTCAAAAATGTAAATTTCTTAGATGGATATATTTATAATCAAGGCAGTATTACATGAATAAAATCACAAAATGTGACTTCAAAAAGCTTTTATAAATAATGTAAGCTACTTCCTGTAGTCTGTAATATTAAGACTCTTGAGAGTAGTGCACAAGAGGGCCCATCTATTTACAACAGCAATAACTTGGTATTATCCACTTTTATAATTTTTGTGATTCTGGTGGCATTAAAATGGTATCTCAGCTGGGCACGGTGGCTCACGCCTGTAATCCTAGCACTCTGGGAGGCTGAGGCAGGCGGATTGCTCGAGGTCAGGAGTTCGAAACCAGCCTGAGCAAGATCGAGACCCCATCTCTAATATAAAATAGAAAGAAATTAATTGGCCAACTAATATATAGAAAAAATTAGCCGAGCATGGTGGCGCATGCCTGTAGTCCCAGCCACTGGGGGAGGCTGAGGCAGGAGGATTGCTTGAGCCCAGGAGATTGAGGTTGCTGTGAGCTAGGCTGACGCCATGGCACTCACTCTAGCCTGGGCAACAAAGTGAGACTCTGTCTAAAAAAAAAAAAAAAAAAAATGATATCTCACTTTTTTTTCTTCTTCGCGCCCCTTTCCTTTTTAGTCCTCTCTCTCTTTTCTGACGTGTAACTGGAGAATGTGTTATGAGTTTGCAAACAACTGGACTATCAGGATGCTTTTTTCCCAGATGTTCTTCCTTTGCCTTCCCTTCCCCTCTTCTCTCCCAATCCTTTCATTCCTTCATTCTTTCCTTCAAGCACTAAGCACTATTTGGAAGAGACAGACAGACAGACAGACACACACACACACACACACACACACACACACAGAATATGAACATACACAAAAGAGAACAAAAAGAAAAGAGGAAATGGGAATTGACAGCTCTGAGCTATGTGCCTGGGGATGTTTATCCTGGACTTCCTGGACTGCCTAGGATTGTTTATCCTGGGCTGCCCAGGGATGTTTACCCTACGCTCATGCCCGGAACTGATATGTGAGACCAGTCACTACAGGCCCCGGTTCCTGGCCAGATCCAGGACCTCAGTGACCAGAGCATATGCCTTTTTGGCGCCAAAGCCTTCCTTTGTTCAAACCACTATGTAAACAGTATAAGAAAGTCCCCAAGCTGCCTTTTTCAGCTGCTTTTCAGCCACTTCTCAGACACTTCTTCGCTGCTGCTAACTATTTGATTGGTTTGCAATTTAAAAATTGCCT